CTGTCTCAGCAGAAGCTTTGGTTGGTTCAGTTTTGTTTGGTGTACATCTGCCTGTAGTGGTCATGTCCCCCGGAAGAATCTGTCTGCTCCTCCAGGGCTGTAATGGTGGGAGGCAGGTGGGAGTCCTTCAGGGCATTCAGGGCCCCCTCCAGGACTGGCTGCACAAAGAGAGCCCCCGTAATTCTCCTTTGGTACCACAGCACTGAGATGGTGCCAAGTACAACCCCCAGCTGAGCATCACAGACTGAGCAAGCCCCATCTTCAAGTCTCTTGACTTCACAGGTGGGGGCATCTAACCAGTCTCTACAAGTCACTGTGTGGGACAGGGCTGAGAGGACAGCCATGCTTTTGAGCATTATTCAGCTTTGGAGACCTAGGCATGCTTGCCCACAGCTCAGGTATGCCTGAGGTTCACCTCTGAAGTAGCTCCATGAGTCACTGTTGCCTGCACCTCTCTGGGAAGCACAAGACCAATGCAGAAATCTCTCGCGTTCTTGTCATCTGAATAGATGGTGGCTCACCCATTATTAGCCAGCAAAAACCAGACCTGCTGAGATGGTTTGGATAAGTACTTCCCAAGCAGTGGTGTGAGGAGACTGTAGGGATGCTGCTCTGCACCTGCCAACCCTTCAGAGCCCAGGGACATGTGCTACGTGGCCTCCAGGCACCTGTGATTTATTAATGGCCTTAAAATGCAGTAACACCACTCAGGAGTCAAGGAGATCCTCACACTACCTACCCACATGCTACCTGTCAGCAGCTACCACAGCTTGGGGGTCAGGAGAGCTGCGTCACATCCCTGCCTTGAATTTCCTGGATACCTTTCAGCAGGTCATGGCTTCCTTGGCTTTAGGCAGCTCTTCCTTGGTTTTAGGCAGGCTCTTCCTGCTGTGCCCAGCATCTCCTCAGCCAGCTCATGATAGGCATTCTTGTCTGGAGAGGAATGTGTTGTCACCCGGGTCTGGGCTGCATGAATGGGAGTGGGCAGAATATGCTGGGGATGACCTCTTGGGTCCATGTGATAGCAGGGGTGTTGGAGAACAGAAAGGGTTGGAGGCCAGCTGTGAGGATGGCTCCATCTCTGGGCTAGCTGCCAGGCAGTGGCAGAGATTGAGGTCAGTGAAGTAAGGGAGAGAAAGCCATAGCATGTACTTTGCCTTGTGTTTAGGCTGGAAGGGAACAACAGCTCTAAGGTCAGAGAAGTTGGATTGGAGGGGGAATTTGGCAGTCTGGGCATTTCTCTCTATACAGGCAGGGGGTTGTGTCTCCAGGCGTTTTATTATAGGCTCACTGGAATGCTGATGATGGGCTTCTGGAGGTCCCTTGTTGAGGATGTCCCTCTTGGAGCAGGACTAGCACCAGCACTAATAATCTACCTCTCTGTTCCCTGCAGGTCCCATGGTGCTGATCATGTCCTTGGGTTCTCCAGCTCTCCTTTCATGCCCTGAGTCATGGGCTTTTGGATCCAGGGATCTTATGTGCTGGCCTTGCATCTCACACCTAAGTTAAGAGGTCCATCCTTGTGCCCAAATACCTCCCGTAGGGTGAGCTCCCTCCAAGGAGGAAGATGTGCCAGGGTAGTCTAGCCCCTAGGGTTCTTGGCCATGGGGACATCCACGGTGGAGCTCCCTGCTCTGCATGAGGTGGGTGTGGTGGCAGCTGTCCCGTCACATAGTGGGCCTTTTGAGGACCTTTTGCCATTTACAGTGGGATCAGCAGTCAACAGAGGTCCCCCTGGCTGGGGTGGGACCTGGTCAGTCACAGTTTGGCTCCTGCAGCAGACAATGGGACTGAACTTTTGCCTTTCTGAAATCCAGCCCTGGGACTGGTGAACCATCTGGCAGCGTGCCAACCTGGCAGGCAGTTCTTGCCGGATGCGAGAGAGCTGCCTAAGTCCCGTGAGCACCAGCAGCTTCCTCCCATCCACATGACGATGGCCCTTGGCACTTCCTTCATCAACAAGGCCCTGGGCAGTTTGGTGGCTCCTGCCAGGACTGCTAGGGTCCTGGGCATGGTCTTTAATGAGAAGGGACGGTGAGGGTGGAACATCTTGGTCACTCCGTGGTTGCTATTGCAGGCTGAGAGCTGGGGCCAGTCCCTGCTCTCCTCTCCTTACCCAAACTCGAGGACAATGCTGTTGGGGCATAGAGCAGTAGTGTTGGCAAGGATACAGGGGAGAAGGGTGATCACACAGTCAAAGTGGTGGGAGTAGAAGCTGTTGGGATGGAGGCGTCTTCCCAAATGTGCCTTGGGTCCCCCATGAGCCCACAGGATCCAGAGTGACGTGTGGGCACTGACCGTGGTAGAGCAAGCTGCTGTTGTTATCCCAGGGTAAACGGGGAGGGAGTGTGTTAGGACAGGTTTGATACTGGGGCTAGTTCTATCTCCACATGTCCTGCCAGAGATACCTCACTAGCAGGTGCTGCTGGCATGTGGTGGCTGTGTTCTGGAGAGACCTGCCCCAGCACATCCACCCTACCTGTTCAATCACCTTCCCTGAATGCTGAAGATCAGGCTGATAATCCCTGCTCACTGCCTGACTAGCTGAGCTTCGTAAGTAGTTACAACAGGACCTGCCAACACTCCTTGTGATCCAGACCACTGCAGGGAGAGGTCATGTTTTTATCAGCCCTTGCTAATCCCCATTTTCTCCCCACATTTTCCTCTTGACTGTGCCCACATTTCCCTCTCCAATGCGCTCAGAAGTGACATGATTTCTGTAGCACAAAGGTCAGCCTTTTCCGTGTTTAGTAGAGCACCGGTATGTGAGCTGTGGGGCCAGCCATAGTGTCCTGGACACCACGAAAGCGCTGCTTGGAGGAGGACAGGCAGTCCATCCTGGACCTTACCCATGCTTGCTTTGCCAGCATTGCCAAACACTGACAACCAGCAGCTTCTGCAAGGGCTGGCTGGGGTGCACAAACTCTGCCCAAGTTTCCCTGCATGGCCCAGGTCCCCTGACCTCTCAGGTCCACAGTTCATCTCAGGAGAGAGCAGCACAGAGTATTAATGAGAGGGGCATCCCAAGACAGGTGCCAGAGTGCCTGGAAGTTGTACAGGAGAGCCAGGTTAGTTTCCCTGGAGCTAAAAGGACTGAAGGCAAGCAGTCCTCAGAGATTCACTTTTGACAAAGCTGGAGGTTTTTCCAGAAAATTCTAGTGGGGTTTTTGGTCTGAGAGATTGAAACAAGTTTAGCTTCCTTGCTTTGCCCAGGTGTGAGCAGTACCATGGCCCCTCTGAGCCCCTTCTTGTCTCGGGCTTGTGCCTTTGTAGGGCTCCTCTGGGTGTGGCTGGGTCAGAGCAGAGGCAGGGGTGCCAGGGAGGGGGCCATGGGGAGGATGGAAGGTGCAAGTGCAAGGTGCTATGGTCATGGCTCTGTGGAGAGATTGCTGTCCTTCTGCCCTAGCTTGTTAAATCATGGCTTTTGTCTAAAAATGCTCATTTTGTGTTTTCAGCTGAAAGTCCATCTCTACAAGTGCTGCTTTTTGTGACCGTGCCAGGTTTCAGTGACAGCTTGTGTGATGCACATGGGCGCAGATGGGTGCTTGTGCAGCCTCCATGTGAAGGGTGGTGTGAGCACACGTGTATGGCACCTGGGGATGCTGCTGCGATGAATCCAGTGTGCATTCCTTCCCATCACAGCCTCCCACCAAAAGGTGGGATGTGCAGGCATAAGAGGGGCAAGGGGCACATGCCGATCCTCCTGAAATAGCCCGGAAGCTGAGGGGCAGCTCACACATCTGTGCGTGTCTGGGTACGGATGGAGCAGCCCCAGCAGTGTGTGGGTGTGCTGGAAGCACGCTGATGTGGCAGGGCATTGGCATGGGTTACGTGATATCAAAACCCAAGGGCAGACTTGCACAGCCCCACGCAGCAGAGAAGGCACGTTGTGCTGCTGTGATGTGCGTGCTCAAGGGGATTTATATTTTGAAACACAGCAAAGTGGAACCTCACCTTGATCACAGGGGCTTGGCCAGGTGTAATTACAGTGTGCAGTGGGGACGGGTACAAACAGCTGACATCTCAGGGAGGCAGGATGTGTATAGCTGCATCCCTGCACCAGAGAAGAAGACACTGCGCATGAGCTCGGGTCAGGGGGCTAGACATTCACCTCCATTACCCTCTGGCTTTTTTTGGTCAACTTTCATGCTGTTCAAAGCTGGCTCCTAGCTAGCCCTCTTTTCTCGGCCATGCCCAATGTAACCATAGGGCAGGGTTTCCCATGGAAGGGCTGCAGGGTCTCTGAGGCTGCTGTGGGAGCTGTGCTGCCTGCACCCTGTGTGTACCAACACCAGCACAGGACATGCATGCACAGTGTGCAGGAAACCCCAGGCAGGTCCCAAAAGTCTCTGACATTGATGGGGAACTGCCAGGCCCCAGGGTCTGGTGCTGCCATGAATTTCAGCATAATATAAGGCACAACCTGTATGAAATCCCACTTTTCTCATACTACAGCAACCTGTCTTGAGCTTTGTACTCAGTGCCTATGCAGCTCAGGTTGGTGCAAGTTCTCCTAAACGCAGCTTTAACCTGCTCTCATAAGCTCTTATCAGGTCAAACAGATCTGCCTAGGAAGCCTGGGGCTCACCTCAGCCAGCTAGCCCATCTGACACAGTGCAACTCTACTGGCCTGCTGGCTTTAAAAACTAATCTTTAAAAAATTTTATTATTATTATTATTGTTGTTGTTGTTGTGTATTTTTAAATACATCTCTATTTTGACTTGGACAGACCTCCTATGTCTGACCAGGGCTTGCTGAAGGAGGAATGCTGAAAGATCAGGCTTGATGCAGTCATCTCTCCACAGGTGACATGGGTTGGGCAGCCTCAGAAAGGCATGTGCCTGTTCATCCAGGTCTCATTTAACTCACAGGCATAAACACAAGTGTCCCTACTGAGGTGATTAGGAAAACTTCTCAAATTGCTGTGCGACTCAGGGTCATATCATGAGCTTTCCTCTCTAGTCAGTTTGCTCCGTAAGATGGATTTCCTCCTCCGGGGATGGAGGTAAGAGGGTGTTTGACCCTAGGCACCTGCAGCAAAGCTGCGTGGTGGAGGTGATGCACGAGGGACTGTCACCGCTTTCTGTGGCCCCTTGCCAGGCTGTGTGGCCTCCTGCCATTCACCCATGTGCTGTCCCCAGGTGAGTGGCATCTGTTGAGTCCACCTCTCACTTCAGATGCTCAGCTCAGATACCTCTCTGCTGGTCCTTGGCAGCTACAGAAGCATTGCCTTTGTGAGCCCCTGGCTGCTGTTGGCAGCAGGCACTGAGCTGTAGAGCCCAGGGACATGATGGCATACTCCACCAGTCTCTTTCTATATGTGACTTCTGGAAGGCACAGCTGGACTAGCTTATAGTGCCTTGCAAAATCCAGCATGGGAATGCTAACAAGGGGACCTGCCTCATGCAACTTCGGTGTCTCAACAGGATGTGGTGCTGGCACCGAGGCCATGGGACCAGAAGTCACAGGTTGGTGCTGAGAAGAGCCACAGCATGTACCAGGAGTGTGCAAGGTTCTGTCACAGCCTCTAGCTCCCCTTGCTCACTTCTTGGCCAGGCAACATCCCCTGTGTCTCGCCGGGGATGCCAGCTATCTCAGCATTTGGCCCTAAATGCTGTCCTTCCCACTCACCCCTTGCTGTCCTTCCCACTCACACACCCCCCCTCCTCTGATACAAGACTGGCAGAAGGGGCTGACACACCAGAGGGTCGTGCTGTCATCCAGAGCCAGGCTGGAGTAAGGGGCTGACAGGGAGGAGTGGTTCAACACAGGGGAGTGCAAAGTCCTGCACCGGGGGAGGAACAACCCCCTACACCAGGACACGCTGCGGGCCACCCAGCTGGAAAGCAGCTCGGCAGAAAAGGCCCTGAGGGTGCTGCTGGACGCTGAACGTGAGCCAACAACTGCTTTTGCAGCAAAGGCTGCAAATGGTGTCCTGGGGTCATTAGGGGCAGCACTGCCAGGAGGTCGAGGGAGGGGATCCTTCCCCTCTGCTCAGCGCTGGCGAGGCCACATCTGGAGTGCTGTGGCCAGTTCTGGGCTGTCCAAAGAGAGACATGGACATACTGGGAGAGACCAGTGGAGGGCCACTGAGCTGAGGAAGGGACTGGAGCACCTCTCCTGCGAGGCAAGGCTGAGCGAGCGGGGGCCGTTCAGCCCGGAGAAGGCTCGGGGGGGCGGTGTGTGTCTCAGGCAGGCCAGAGCTGGCTCTCTGCCCCCAGAATGAAGCATTTTAATTGCAAAGAATTTTAACGAGTGAGCCCCAAGCACTCCGGTTTGGCTCAGCCGGGCCGTGCGTGGGGCTGCGGAGCCACGCGGTGGTGCTG